ATAATGTTGATGAAGATGATGAAGAAGATACTGATGATGATGGTGATGATGTTGCTGTCCGGATGCTAATGCCTCTTGACATGGTGCAGGCTGGTGCACGAAGAAAATCCCGACCGACACTACCTGCAGCCCGTTATCGAATCCTCAACACACACGCACTACCCACAGGGTCATGCCCTACCCCTTTGTGAAAAAGATTCTATATACCAGATCCTCACCCTAAACAATGTACGTACCTTGTCTATGACCCTCTCGGTATATGGACAGTGAGTTCTCAGCCAAGGATTGGCTTAGCCGTACATCCCTCCCAATCACTCCCTGAGAGTCCATATGACCAGTGTAAATAACATTAATCTCTTGCCCTTTAAATGCTATTTAGGAACTCATTTAAGTAATAGAGTAGTAGAATATGTAAATAAAGGTACATGGACCCTTCGAGAATGCGAAAAAAACACCTGTCTGACCAACGTGGCCTTCCCTAAACCCTAACCCTAAACCCTAAACCCCTGAACCCTCAACCCTAAACCCTGAACCCTAAACCCTAAACCCTGAACCCTGAACCCTAAACCCCTGAACCCTAAACCCTTTAGAGTCTTTCCCGCAAGGAACCGGGCAATCTACCGGACGCCAGTTCGGCTTCGGAGCCGGAGCCGGAGGGCTGGGGCTGGCTTTCCTTTGTTCGGGCTTGGGGTTCAGGGGCTTAGGGTTTAGGGTTTAGGGGTTGAGGAGTTTCGGGTTTAGGGTTTAGGGTTTCTAGGGTTCGGGCTTGGGGTTCAGGGGTTTGGGGTTTAGGGGTTGAGGGGTTTAGGGGTGTAGGGGTGTAGGGGTTGAGGAGTTTCGGGTTTAGGGTTTAGGGGTTGAGGGGTTTAGGGTCTATAGGGCTTTGGGGCAGAATGTAGGTATTGGCTGCTGTTGGGGCTTAGGGTTTACCGGGTTTATGTCCTTCCCTAAACCCTAAACCCTAAACCCTAAACCCTAAACCCTAAACTCTAAACCGTGATTCTGAAGGGCCCTGAGGGCGTGGCCATAGGTGAGTACATGGTTCCCGAACCTGCGCCAGATCGGGGCAGGTTGAGGGTTTCTGAGCTCGGGTACAGCGTGAGGGCATGGAGGGCTGGCTTAGGGTTTAGGGTTTAGGGTTTAGGGTTTGGGGGTTACGCCAAGGCTCCATGTGATTTTTTTGGTTGTTTCTACTTGGGATTCCTACATGGGTACTTTAGGGCCGAAGCAATGCTATGTAGGCAGGTAGAGCCTTAATGTCGCCGCCAAACCCGGCGAACCACAGTCAAGCAAGCACCAACACGTGCAAGCCCGACTATCTTTGCCATCCTGAGTAGTGCTGATGGCAGCGAAATAACGGTAAGTGAGGCGGTCGCGGGTGGCTTGAGGTTGTGGTAGTGGCTCTCGTGCCACTGCTGCTGCTGCTGCTGCTGCTGCTGCTGCTGCTGCTGCTGCTGCTGCTGCTTCTTGCGACGACACTAACGACGACAGAGAAGATTATGATAAGGATGATAAGGATGATGTTAATCATGTCAAGGAGGATGCGAAGCAGGATGATGGAGATGGTATCGACGATGACAACAGATATAAGGATGATGATGATGATGATGATGACGACGGCGATGATGATGGTCAGGGTGATTATGGCAATGATGATTACGTTGATGATGACGATGAAAAAGAGGGTGATGATGATGATGCTCATGGTGATGATATTGATGATGATGACGACGACGGTTCTGGCGTTGACTACGGTGATGAAGAAGAAGAGGATGACGTTGTAGTTCAACAACAGCAGTTTAATATGATGGAATGATAGCACGACAGAACCATGATGACGAGCGCTACAATGATCACCAGAAAGTGCCTTCGGCAAATCCGCGGGCCAGCGCAGATGCATCTCGGTGCCCGCGCCGGGGCCGAAGTTCTGATGGATCTATGTAGTCTCGTCTTAGCTATTAAAAGCTGGTTGTGGCTACAGCGAGATGCTTGGAGCAAGACCCTGGGCTTGAATCAGCTAGTCGAGGCTTAAGCACACATGTCGGTCCTGAAGATTGTTCGATGGTACGTGGCATCCTTTGCACCGCTCCACTTTCAAAATGTGCCTGTTGGATATCAGACAGATATTCACGGCTCTCTGGTCAGGTTTGTATTCACTCTTGAGTCTTGAGCCTGCCGAGAGCAAGCAACAGAATGCCTAAAGACCCCGTATTAAGGACCCTATATTATCATGGCTCGAATTAGAATAGGGCTGTTGGTTTCCTTTAATTATACTCTCTTTAAAATAAGGACGCCTAAGGAATAAACATGGCAATGGATGCTTGGGAGCTCTGGCAAGTCAGCTTTGAGTTTGAGAGTGCTTCTGCGTTTGAACGACTACTCCAGAACTCAGTGACAGTTTAGGGTTTAGGGTTTGGGATTTAGGGTTTAGGGTCAGTGGCCCAAGCGCAACCTTGTAGGTAACGCCCCCTTCAATACATGGTACCACCTCTCCCCCAAAGTAGCAGGTGCTTAAATCCGCAAAGGGTAACCGGACATTTGGCATCTTAGCTGCAGGTCTGACTTGCCCCGAAAGCCCATGTGAGTTCCCGAACTTCGTTGGAACCCCCCCCCTCTGTAGAGGGCACACTATTTGGGAAGTAATTTTCTGAGATGTTTGTACCCAGGCACTCCAATATTTCGTATTTTTGCCCGCCTGCTTCTTAAGTCTTAAGGGTCACCATTATAATTCTAGAAACCCTAAACCCTAAACCCTAAACTGAGGAATTAGAGTAGGGCTGATGGGGTTGATTGTGCCAAAGTTACACTCGCCCTAAGGCATCCCTCAGGCTTCCGTAATCTATCTGGGAGTTTCCGAGAATAAGGGGGTACCTTATCTTGGGGTTCTTCTACTACGGATCCCACTATTTCTTGAGAGTACTATATTAGGGTCCCCTATTTTCGGAAACCCCCAGATTAATTGAAGTTGGGTTTTTGGGGGTCTGAGTTGGGGGTTCAGGGCCTCCACGGATTGTGGGCCAGAAAGCAAGGCTGGGTGACGAGTCCTAGCTGATGTGGCTTTAGCGATTAGGGTCTACCTGTCGATGCGGAAGATGTCTTACAGCCCCGAACCATTCGGTATTCTCGGAAACTGGCTGCGCATGCAGGCTAGTTATGCCCCTCTGGGTCAAATTGCTGCGACGGGCTTTCTTCGATGCGCCGGCTTAACTTCAAATGATTCCTTTGACAAGAACGCTAACTTTAGGGTGTCAATCGCTCTGCGACCAGTGCACCCGGAATAACGGCCATGAGGCTTTGGAGAGGGAGCTGGGTCAAGAGTATTGATACTGAATCTCGATGAAGAGTTTTATTTATGCTGCATATTCGCAACTCATTTCCGTGGCCAGGAACATGCCATATTACACATCATCGATTTATACATATGTATCTATCTATCTATGTAAGTATCTGTCCATCTATGACTAGAGAATATACCTTTATTACATACATACATGCATGCATGCATGCATGCATGCATGCATGCATGCATGCATACATACACACTCACATCTGCATGTATACACCTGTTACCCTGGTTACACCTACACGTCTGTAGGGCGAACTTAGTTTCAAAGCCTCTGGCCAGGATTACCCTGCAGCGCCCAAGGACACTGGCCCGTGGCTTTCGTTGACCGGGTACTACAGCTCTAACGTGACGTAGGGGCCTTACTAATTGAGGCCCCTACATGACTTGCATATGCAAGCACACAGTAGGGCAGGGGAAAGCTACAAGTGAGGATACAGGTACGTTGCACCAAGTTACTCGAGTTGTATATAGGGTCGTCCCACAGCCACAGCTAATTTCGGAACACTGCGCAGACTTCCGAAGTAATGCTTATTCTTACTTCCCCAATAAGCCAGGAAAACAAAAGGTTAAACTTTCAGATTACTACTATACTGTAAGAACCCAAAAAGCTTAAAGGCTGGGTATAGGGAACTAAGTAGTCTCGCATCTAGCAAATCCTGAGATGACATCGGACGAGTAAGGCCGCGAGACGGATCCTGGAGCGCTGGATTCACTAACGTTCTCCAACGCTTGGGGTTTGGGAGGCTGGAACGGTGTCTTTTGCTGTGAAACCGTGTGTCAGACTCCGAAGATAGAAGCCTAAGCAATTATCAAGATTATTCCTCAGGGTTCCTTACTAGAATTATACTAGATAATTATACTAGAAAGGACCCCTGGACCTTATTCTAATTATTGAGGCCCTTACAGTCGGCGAGGCAGGCGTTAAGCAGTGAGGGCATGGTCCCAAACCTCAAGCTTCCTCAGAGACAGCGACACGAGCTTTTCATGCTTCACCGGTCGTCAGAAGAAGGATTTAGGGTTTAGGGTTTAGGGTTCTCCCATATACTTCCCAAGCGATTCCATAATAGAGACTGTGACTATAAGGGATTCCCAAAAACCTTCACACGGCAACTTGGGTGCAGGAGTTAGTCGAGGAGGTGCAACCATGAGACGGTAAGTGAAACCGAGCAGGCAATCGTTCATGAAAATCTGTGAAGTAAGACCAGCAGACATGGGCACAACAAACTCGCTGCCCTTAATGCTCAAGTGTAATTGACGACCAGAGGGACGCCAGACTTATCCTTCAGGAAATTGTGCCGCTAGAGCTATTTGGGGATTACTAGAACAGGAGTCCTTCAAACCGGAGTCGCCACGCTACAGATCCTACTCTTTAGGGCTAGGGTGTTTAGGGTTTAGGGTTTAGGGTTTAGGGTTTAGGGTCCCTTCATTCTCTTCCCATCTCAACATTCGGAGAAGATTCGGTGCAGCATGTTGTGAAGGGCCCTCTCGAGGTGTTTCACGCTTCGCGCGCCACCTTCTGTCGCTGGTTCGACGCTACCTACAGACCTGCGTCCGACCCTGAAGCTACTGTCAGAATTTCCTTTCTGACCACAACTTGTATTCATTGCTGATGCCTACTCGGGGTCAGATGTTGAACTCAACACTTAAATGGACCTCAGAAGGTCTCCAATTCCTCCAACTCCTCCTTGGCAGTCTGCTTGTCAAACTCCTCGCCCATGGCCGAGACAATCCAGTCGGCGGGGCGCTCCGTCAACGTAGCCTCCCGCGCGGGCTAGGTGTTCGGGTTCTAGGGTCGACCTCGACCCCCCCACAACCCTAAAACCCTAAAGCCCTAAAACCCTAAAGCCCTAAACCCTAAACCCTATAAGCCCTAAACCCTATAAACCGTGAAACCCTGGAAAGGGTTTAGGGTTTAGGGTTTGGACTGAGAAGGGTAGACCTGGAGCCCTTGTGCATGAAACCCTCAGCCCTACCGAGACCCCCTTCTCCCCGCTTCCAAAACAAGCTACCAGCTGTTACTTAAAGGAAGCTACAGGAGTTTAGGGTATATAGGGTTTTGGGTTTAGGTTAGGGCTTTAGAGGTTAAGGGTTTAGGGTTTAGGGTTTAGGAAACTACAGGTGGGGAGTTTAGGGTATATAGGGCTCCTATAAGGTTTCTATAAGGTATATAGGGCTTCTATGAGGCTCCGATATCGGTAACGAACCACCTGAAAATGTCCTAGAGCTAGAAAGTTCAACACCCTAAGGGCTCTATTGAAGGATGCTTGGGAGGTCCTTGTTTCAACCCCAAACCTTACCCCCAAACAACTCAGATTGTTGAGGAGCTATTTCAGGAACCCATCATAAGGAACCCGAAAAGGGAGGTTTTGTGGACCCAAAGGGTCCTATGTAGCTGCATGGTAGACTGTCGGGTTGCCATATTAGGACAATGGCATTACGACGTAGGGACGTAGCCTCTGTAGCAGGACATAGGACTCTTACCCCGAAGCCCTAAACCCTAACCCCTAAACCCCTAAACCCTAAACCCCTAAACCCTCAACCCCTGCACCCCTAAACCCTAAACCCCTACACCCACCCCTAAACCCCTGAACCCCTAAACCCCTAAACCGCTAAACCCTAAAAGGGCGTCCAGGTAAACCCTACAAGCCTCAGTCTCGGCGATGCTCCCGGTCCAGTCCTCGGCACAACATCAGCGAGGAAGCGGCGTCTTCTTTATTGGGCTCTGTGTGGATATTATTCTTAAGACTATTAGGGTTGAGTGTGGATATTATTCTTCATACTACTAGGGTTCACCGTTTAGAGATTCGGGTTATAGGGTCTGGGGAGGAAAGCTGCTACACTAGACATCCTTCGTCGGACCTGGTCCCTGTACACGACATCTAAGGAAATTAAGTGGGAAAGCCTTTACAGGCAGGAGCCCCTGTACATCGCGGCAACCCCTACTCGTTCTAAGGGCTCAGCTCGTGATAAACCCTAAGCCCTAAACCCTATTATGAACCCTAAATTAAACTCTAAACCCTAAGCCCTAAACCGGCCAATGATGAATCTCAAGATACCAAAGAGCGAGGCCAAGTCCGAAATTCAGAAGTCTAAACCTACGGCCCCAAACGCAAAAGCACCATGCTGTGCTAATCAATAAGCCGGGTGTCTGCAAGGACTCGCATGGCCATCTGCTGGATTGCAACTTTGCTGTCGACCTCACTTCTGTGGAGTTGTTTTGAGCGGCTCGGTTTGGGGCTTCCGACTAATATGGGCTGGCATGTGGCGCTTGGAGTTTTGGGATAAAACTTGATCTTTGTGGGCAACTCTCATTATCGCCTCGCCTCGCACAAGTGCGAATTGAGGGCAAAGGCTTTCTTGCTTAAGCCATATATGCCCGCAAAGCCCTATAAGCCCCATAAGTACGAAAGCCTAAACCCTAAACCCTATACACCGAAAGCCCTAGAACCCTAAACCCCACATAGTTCAAACCCTCTGGCCTTCTCTGTTATGGAGCTTCGGATGATGCGGCCAGAACACTCGGGTTTAGGGCTTACGGTTCATAGGGCTGAGTCAAAAAGCCCTAAACCCTAAACCCTAAACGTTAAACCCTAAACCCTAATCCCTAAACCCTAAACCTTAAACCCTGAACCCTAAACCTTAAACCCTAAACACTAAACCTTAATCCCTAAACCCTAAACCCAAACCGAAGAGCCTCAGGAAGAAACCTTCCAACAGGGAATCTGGGTTCTTGTTAAGGGATTTAATTTAAGTTACCATAATAAAGAAACCGTACTATTTACTATAGATCCCTATTATGGTAACTTAAATTAAATCCCTTAACAAGAACCCAGTATAAACCCTCGAATCGAAGGCTGGCAGCTGAGTTGCCATGGGGCTCTCTGCAAGGCCCACATCGAGATGTC